ATCATTCTTCTAGTGTCTGCCCCTGGGGGTTGGGCAATCACCAAAAAACAATAGGGGTCATCCTTAAGGTATAAGGAATAGGTATACAAAGTTTCAAAAGGATCTGTTAACAATTGCGACCTATAGGCGAAACACAAGACACAAAGATTGGGCGTGGCTCTGTCCCAGGGGGTCGGGCATACACAAAAAATAATAGAGGTCAGCCTTAGAGTATATAAGGAATAAGTATAAAAAAGTTTTGAAGACGATCGATTAAGAATTGCGAGCTGTACAGTGTAAGTGACATACAGACACACAAAAAGAAAATCTGCATGGCTCTGCCCCTGGGGGTTAGGCATTCACCACAAACAATAGGGATGTTCCTTAAGATAGAAGGAATAAGTGTGCAAAGTTTCAAGGTGATATTAAGAAATGCAGTCTGTAGATGACAAACAAATAAATACAAGAAATGGGCGTGGGTCTGCCACTGGGGGTCAGGCATACACCAACCAGCGGCTGCCAGGCAGGATACGCCCACATTTTCGAGAGATGGATAGAGAACAAGCTAACAAGAAAGTGATTTTTCCTACAATCAAGGGCCATAATTCAGGAAATTACAATTTGATATGCGCATATATCGAAAAAAACTGAGATCTTTGTGTTATAAACTTACATTTCAAGTTTCAACAAAATCGGATAAAAATTGTGACCTCTATAGGGTCCACAACCTTGATATACCATATTTTTACGCTATTTGAGAACAAACGGCAGCCATTTTGTCTGTCAGTTTTGGGCCGATTTTCATGAAATTCAAACTCAGTCGTCCTTAGGGTGTAACGGTGATATAATAATACGTTTTTTTAAATCGGATAAAAATTATGACCTTTATAGGGTCCACAAGCTAAAAACGCGATTTTTCGTACAATCAGGGGCCATAATTCAGGAAATTACGGTAAGATATGCGCAAATATCGAAAGGAACCCAGATCTTTGGGTTATAGACTTACATTTCAAGTTTCAACAAAATCGGATAAAAATTGTGACCTCTATAGGGTCCACAACCTTGATATACCATTTTCTTACGCTATTTGAGAACGAACGGCGGCCATTTTGTCATTTCAAGTTTCAACAAAATCGGATAAAAATTGTGACCTCTATAGGGTCCACAACCTTGATATACCATATTTTTACGCTATTTGAGAACAAACGGCAGCCATTTTGTCTGTCAGTTTTGGGCCGATTTTCATGAAATTCGAACTCAGTCATCCTTAGGGTGTAACGGTGATATAATAGAACGTTTTTTTAAATCGGATAAAAATTATGACTTCTATAGGGTCCACAAGCTAAAAACGTGATTTTTCGTACAATCAGGGACCATAATTCAGGAAGTTACAGTCCGATATGCACGAATATCGAAAGGAACCGAGATCTTTGGGTTATAAACTTACATTTCAAGTTTCAACAAAATCGGATAAAAATTGTGACCTCTATAGGGTCCACAACCTTGATATACCATATTCTTACGCTATTTGGGAACGAATGGCGGCCATTTTGTCTGTCAATTTTGGGCCGATTTTCACGAAATTCGAACTCAGTCATCCTTAGGGTGTAACGGTGATATATTAGAACGTGTTTTTAAATCGGATAAAAATTATGACTTCTATAGGGTCCACAAGCTAAAAACGTGATTTTTCGTACAATCAGGGGCCATAATTCAGGAAGTTACGGTCCGATATGCACGAATATCGAAAGGAACCAAGATCTTTGGGTTATAAACTTACATTTCAAGTTTCACCAAAATCGGATAAAAATTGTGACCCCTATAGGGTCCACAACCTTGATATACCATATTCTTACGCTATTTGGGAACGAACGGCGGCCATTTTGTCTGTCAATTTTAGGCCGAATTTCACGAAATTCGTACTCAGTCACCCTTAGGGTGTAACGGTGATATAATAGAACGTTTTTTTAAATCGGATAAAAATTATGACTTCTATAGGGTCCACAAGCTAAAAACGTGATTTTTCGTACAATCAGGGGGCCATAATTCAGGAAGTTACTGTCCGATATGCGCAAATATCGAAAGGAACTGAGATCTTTGGGTTATAAACTTACATTTCAAGTTTCAACAAAATCGGATAAAAATTGTAACCTCTATAGGGTCCACAAGCTAAAAACGTGATTTTTCGTACAAACAGGGGCCATAATCCATGAAGTTTCGATCCGATACATGCCAATATCGAAAGCAGCCGAGATCTTTTGGGGATAAACCTATATTTCAAGTTTCGTCGAAATCGGATAAGAATTGTGACCTGTAGAGAGTCCACAAACAATTGTGGACGGACGTCCGGACGGACAGGGGCGATGGCATAATACGTCCACATGAAAATGTGGGCGTATAAAAACAATAGGGATCATCCTTAGGGTATAAGGAATTCATATGAAATTTTTTCAAGACGATCGATTAAAGATACATTATGGGAGATAAGATAAAGAGATGGCAGTTCTCGCTATAATAGTTAAAGATAGGTTGCCAGACAACCAAACATACGCCCACAGCAGCTAAATCGTCCGAGCGGTCGCATATTTATTCCTTTGTAGGTAATTGGGGGCCTTTACAAGACAGTTCCATACAGATCAGATTATAATTTTTGCTGTTTGAGGGTTCACAAGGTTCTACAAATTGAAACAAGGGTCTCAACTCTGGAAGTAATCTACAGAAATTGTTGAAATTTGACAGGCTTTTTCGTTTCACAAATTTAAATGATGCATATAAATTTCATACATATCGGTTGATAACTTTCATCAATCGAGCATTAACAAGGTTGAACAAAGTCAAACAAGGGCAATAACTCCAGAAGTAATAAACGTAAATTGCTGAAATTCAATAGGATTCTTCTCTTTACTAATTTAAATGACGCACGTAAATTTCATACAGATCAGCATATAACTTTTGATGTTAGAGCATTCACAAAGTTCAATAAAGTGAAACAAGGGCCATCACTCTAGACGTAATAGACAGAAATTGCTGAAATTCAATAAGCTTCTTCTTTTCACTTATTTAAATAATGCATATAAATTTCAGAAAGATCTGATGATAACTTTTGCCGTTGGAGTGTTCACAAGGTTCAATAAAGTGAAACAAGGGCCATCACTCTAGACGTAATAAACGGAAATTACTGAAATTCAATAGGATTCTTCGTTTCCCTATTTTAAATATTGCATATAAATTTCACAAAGATCGAATGTTAACTTTTGGCATTAGAGTGTTCACAAGGTTCAACAAAGTGAAACAAGGGCCATAACTCTAGACGTTATAAACGGAAATTACTGAAATTCAATAGGATTCTTCGTTTCCCTAATTTAAATATTGCATATAAATTTCACAAAGATCGAATGTTAACTTTTGGCATTAGAGTGTTCACAAGGTTCAACAAAGTGAAACAAGGGCCATAACTCTAGACGTTATAAACGGAAATTATTGAAATTAAATAGGCTTCTTCGTTTCACTAATTTAAATAATGCATATAAATTTCAGAAAGATAGGATGATAACTTTTGGGGTTAGAGCGTTCACAAGGTTAAACAAAGTGAAACAAGGGCCATAACTCTAGAAGTAATAAACGGAAATTGCTGAAATTCAATAGGCTTCTTCGTTTCCCTAATTTAAATATTGCATATAAATTTCACATAGATCGGATGATAACTTTTGGCTTTAGAGCGTTCACAAGGTTCAACAAAGTGAAACAGGGGCCATAACTCTAGACGTTAAAAACGGAAATTATTGAAATTAAATAGGCTTCTTCATCTCACTAATGTAAACAACATATATCAATTTTAAAACAATTGGATGATAACTTTTGGCATTAGAGCGTTCACAAGAAATTGTGGACGATGGACGGACGGACGGACCGACGGCAATATACGTCCACATTTCTATGTGGGCGTATAAAAACTAGATAGTGTAAAGGTAATTTGCTGAAAATTTCAGTCAAATTGATCCACTATGAGCAGAGAACGAAGCGGGAGAATTTTTGCAAAGTCTCGGTCATCATTACTAAAATCATAAATATAAACAGCATAGTCTCGATTATCCACTGTTTTGATTTAATTATCAATGGCCGTTAAGCGGCATATAGGAATCTAATCCAGCCAACAACTAAGGCTAGCCTTGACATCGAGAGTTTATTATGGTCTGGATAAGTTAATTAATGTCTACTTGATAATTTAGATAACATTTCAGGCCTAAAGAAAGACTTGTAATAAGCAGATTTTGCTCTTGCATAATGCATGTTTAAGAATTGTTGCCTGTAGGCGACACATACACACAAATAGAGATTATGGGTGTGGCTCTGCCCCTGGGGGTTAGGCATGCACCCCAAACAATAGCGATGTTACTTAGGGTACAAAGAATAAGTATGCAAAGTTTCAAGATGATACGTTAAGCAATGTGGCCTGTAGACGACAAACAAACAAATACAAGAAATGGGCGTCGCTCTGTCCCTGGGGGTCGGGCATGCAGCGAAAACAATAGGGGTCATCCTTAGGGTATAAGGAATAAGTATGTAAAGTTTCAAGATAATCACTTAAGAATTGTGGTATGTAGGCAACACACAGACAGGGGGCGATGGCAATATACGTCCACATCCACATATAAAAATAGTGATAATCAAGTGAAAAGGAGGATTTCAGGCTACAATGCAAGCGTTGACTGAATAAGTAAACATCTCAACCAACCATGCAGCCGAAACATATTCATTGTGTCTAATTACGTCACAATTCTACTCACACCACCTCCGTGGTCAGGACTGACAGAACTGTGACAGAACTGAATTCTGCGTTACTCGATTGCCATTCTGTCAATCGGGACGTTCTGGATTGTGAATCAAGATTCCCCAAGATTTCGTCAACAGGGGCAGTAACTTTCCGAAACATCCTTGGGTGCCTCTGAATTTCAATATAGTTCCCCCTTGTATGTAAATATGAATTAATGATCTGATCTTCTCTATATGTCTATACTGACCTTTTTTGTTTAGACTGTGATTTCATTCTATGTTTGGGTGTATTTTGTGAGACTGAATGTGTATGAGCTGTTTGACTGTCACAATCTGCTAGTGTAGCTAAAACAAAATTGGCTTCAAATGTTTTATCACTATCTATAGACATCACTATAGGTCTGAAATAAATAAAATATTTATTAACCTTAAAAAGTCAAAATAAATCTTTTACTTTTACATTAAATATTGCCTTCACTTTCACATCAAATATAATGTTAACACAAAAAGGGTGGCTACTTTTCAAAATAGTCTGGTTTTCCCCCTTAAATATAAGTATAGATGTCCTAATTTGTTAACTGAATTCTGTTTAATAATAGGTGAAAAGGAATACCAGTCATACTGTGTAGTATCTATCTGAATGGAAACAATAGTAACATTTTAAAATAACACAAACAAGAGCTAAATATACTGCACAAATTGTCCATGTAGGTTACTATTTCAACATTCCCCTAATAATATAACAGCCCTACCTTCCAGCTCTTTCAAAATGCATATTAATTGGTAAACTTATAACTTCTGCAAACCCTAATATTGCCTGAAAAACATAAAGAAAAGAAGTAAAAACTTTCAGAAAGCTACACAATAAATCAAATAATTAAGTATGTAATGAAAGTTGAAAAAAACCAAACAATTATTTAACCTATTACTGTCAGCCATATTATACTCCTGTCCAGAACATGTTATGTTCATACAGCTTATATTTTTGTTTGTGCTACATTTATTTTAAATTGCATTATTTTATTGATATCTAATTTCGCTATAATGTGTAACAGCAATTTATAAGCGACAATTAAGTTTTGACCCTGAATCTAGGGATCAAACACAAACCAGAATTAGTTAACTAAATTCTCTATAAATCTTTAAAAGCCACTACCATATTTAATCAATTAAAATGGTGATTTTCCGTGTGAATATTTGCCAATAGATTTCCTTCTACCAAAGAAGGTTACACTTCTGAATCCAAGTTAAAATCTCTTTAGCTTCATTTAAAAGATTAGTTCAATGAGTACAAATACTTACTCTTAATTCTTTAAGACAAAATGTAATCTCTGTATCAACACCTAACTGACAATTATCAAATTCACTTGGATCTAGGTGCATCTCTGTCAAAACTACTTTCTTTGGATCTAAAGAATCAAATTTTTTTTTTTAAATAAGATTTCTTTTGTGTTACAAAACTTACAAGATTGTTTTGATTGTGGTGAAAGATGCTAATATGGTATTTATTATTTTGAACAATCCAGCTAGATTATCTGACAAAATTCACTATGTGGTGCATTCTAATACTGACCACTGCATTGTACCGAGTCAGGCTAATAAGTAAGGTCCAACTAAATCTTACAAAAAGAGTCAGATTAGGTGCTCTTGCCTAAGTAAAAGTATTTGACATTCAGGAATGAACTATATGAGGTGCTTATTTTCAATCTCAGCATGATACTTATATTTGATTTGAATATTTTAATAGAGATAGTTTGTAAACTATGCATGTAAACCCAAAGACATGATAAAATACTAGATATGTAAAAATCATCAACTACCTGGTTCGTCATCAACATAATTTTTCAATGAGATTTTATTAGGTTTAGCAATTAGAGTGACCTCCTCTTGATTATTCTGGAAATTAATAACTGCATCACATAGCAACCTAAAATGTTAATATCAAATTCTAATTTTCTAATAAGATGCTAAAAAGAAGTTTTTTTGTTTGTTTTTTTTCAATGCTATTTATGTAAGGAGATGCAATTGGACCATTTTATAAATGAATGATTGTAAATCTTGTTTGAGAGATACACTTTAATCTTGCAATTCTAAATGGACAATATCAAATCACAACAACAATAACATGCAAGAATAATGTTTTCACAGTCGCTTAAACCCACCACAGATAAATTCTCTGAAGCACAAAGAATTGAATTCGACAGAGCCATTGGAAGCAGCATTGTGCGATGTATGTGGCTGCTAGAGATTGACACTACTGACTTTTCATTGTTACCCCTTGTGCCTATAAATCGCTCTATGGTGAAATTCTTATGGATTCTGTGAGATGTTGATTTGCTTGTGTTGGTAAATGTCCAGCCTACAATCATGCCAAACATCACATTCCTTCCTTGATTGATATGGTACTTTTTAAAATGAAGAGCATGAAATTATATGAAATGGCTGCCATGACTGTAATATGACAAGAGGCAAAGAAGGCTAGGCGTTGGGTATGTTTTGCCAAATTTACAGACAAAATATTAACAAAAAAGTGGGTGTGACACCGCCCCAGGGGTTCGTGGCAAACACCAAAATAAATAGTTTCTTTTTTTACGGTATAAGGAATAAATATGTAAAGTTCTAAGATGATTCATTCAGAATTGCAGCCTGTAGACGATAAACACAAAAATTGGACGTGGCTCTGCACCTGGTGGTTGGATATGGTACAATATAATATAAATAGATACAACCCTGTCATTGAAATGATTAAATGCTGAATTTGAACAAAATCTGTTAACAATGGACACCTGTGGAACAGTGATTCTCAACCACTGGACCAGTATGCCGTCGCACACAGGTGTGCCACAAGATTTTCCTAGATGTGCTGCAAGAAAATGAGAAAAACCATGTGATCCCAATTGAGTATTCACTGGTGTCTACTGGAAAGTTCATAGCTGTGTTTTTCTTTATTTAGTTTCAGTCATTCTATGTGTCTGTGTCTACGTTTGTATTTCATCTATGACTTGCCATGTTTTTATTTTGCAAAATTCAAGTTAATATCCGATTGACTTTAAATTTATACACAGTGTTTAAGGTCATAAAACGAAGAAGTCTATTCATTTTCAGCTATTTTCGATAATTACTGCCAGAGTTATGGCCCTTGATCACTTCAAAAAATCTTGTGGACGCTCTAGAGGTCAAAGTTAATATATGATTGACTTTAAATTTATACAGTGTTTAAGGTCATGAGATGAAGAAGCCTATTGATTTTCAGCGATTTCGATAATTACTGCCAGAGTTATGGCCCTTGATCACTTAGAAAAATCTTGTGGACGCTCTAGAGGCCAAAGTTAATATCCGATTGACTTTAAATTTATACACAGTGTGTAAGATCATGAGACGAAGAAGCCTATTGATTTTCAGTGATTCCCGATAATTACTGCCAGAGTTACGGCCCTTGATCACTTTGAAAAATCTTGTGGATGCTCTAGAGGCTAGAAGAAGTTAATATCTGATTAACTTAAAATTAAAACACAGTGTTTAAGGTCATCAGACAAAGAAGCCTATTGATTTTCAACAACATCCGATAATTACTGCCAAAGTTATGGCCCTTGATCACTTTGAAATATCTTGTGGACGCTCTAGAGGCTAAAGTTAATATCCGATTGACTTTAAATTTATACACAGTGTTTAAGGTCGTGAGACGAAGAAGCCCAGTGATTTTCAATGATTTCCGATAACTACTACCAGAGTTATGACCCTTGATCTCTTTGAAAAAACTTTGTAGATGCTCTAGAGACCAAAGTTATCATCCGATTGACTTTAGATTGATAAACAGAGTTTAAGGTCTTGAGATGAACAAGTATATTGATTTTCAATGAATTTTGATAACTTGACTAAATCCACGATATTAAATGTTTCGTATACTAAACGTTAGCATGGGGCAGAACTAAAAGCCAAAAAATTTCTAATGATTTTCAGATAATTACTTATAATCACTCTTCATCAGATTTTAATTGATTATAAATGTTTCATTACCGACAATAGAAAAAATATGCAACGACTCTTGTTCACTGCTCGGACAACTTAGCTGCTGTGGGCGTATGTTTCGTTTCCTGGCAACCTATCTTTTCTTTGTGTGTTAGTGTGTTGCCTACAGGCCACAATTTTTAATGGATTGTCGTGGAACTTAGTATATTATTCCTCACGTCCAATTTTTGTGTTTAGCATCTGAAGGCCACAATTCTAAATGGATTATCTTTGAACTTGCTATACTTATTCCTTATACTCTAAGGACGGCAACTATTGATTTTGGTGCAATTATTAACATATTTGGATCCAATTCAGTATGGTCCATCATAGGGTGGTACCTATTTATATTGTTCCATATCCAACCCCCAGGGGCAGAGCCACGCCCAATTTTTGTGTCTACAAGCTGGAATTCTGAATGGATCATCTTGAAACTTGACATTCCTTATACCGTAAGGATAGCAACTATGTATTTTTGGTGCATGTCCCAACCCCCAGAGGTGTGGTACCACACCCACTATTTTTTTGTTGATTTTTTTGTCTGAAAAACCTCTACAGCAGTGTTCTCAACCATTTCTTGCCCATGGCACCCCTTGGAACACATGAAAAAATAGCGGCACACCTGGCTATATATATATATTTCGGACATTTCGCATTGCCACAGAATGCCCGAAATAACTTTAATCTCTAAGTCACACCCACTTTCTCAATACAAACCCGAAGACATTGTATCGATCCAACATGTAGTTTTAATCTCTAATTCACACCCACTTTCTCAATACATCCGAAGACATTGTATCAATCCGACATGTAGTTTCTGAGATACAATCAAATTGAAAAAAAACCAAGCCAACAGTGAGGCTGATGTCCCCCTCCGAAATGCTCAAATAAATAGATGACTCATATAATTTAATCGCACATCTATTTTTTTCAAAAGTATCAAGCAATCAAACTGATTATCAACTATACACTAAGTTTCATCACTCTTTATCAGATAGAATCAAAGTTATCTTGTCCCAAAGCATTGACCAAGGAAATTGCTTATCTCTGCTTAGCTTTAGCTCGATATGTTAATCATTGAACTCAGTCAAGACGAACATCTACATCAAGTTTAAACATACTACCTCAATTAGAAGCAGAGTTGTTATTTTCCAAAGTCTTGACCAATCAAAATGCTTATTGCTCCTTACCCTAAGCAGAAAATTCTCATCATCGAACTTAGTCAAGGTATTGATGTAATGAAAATATACACCAAGTTTCATCACTCTCACTTAATTAGAAGAAGAACGGGGGCGACGACAATATACGACCACATTTCAATGTAGGCGAATAAAAATGGGTGTGGCTCAGCCCCTGAGGGTCAGACATTCACAAACCTGCGGCTGCCAGGCAGGATACGCCCACATTTTGCAAGAGATGGATAGAGAAAAAGCTAAAAACAAACAGGATTTTTTGTACAATCAGAGGCCATAATCCAGAAAGTTATGGTCTGAACTGCGCAAATATCAAAACGGACTGAGATCTTTGGGATATAAAGATATGTTTTGAGTTTCATCAGAATCGGATAACAATTGTGACCTCTAGAGGGTCCACAACCTTCGTACTTCGTATTGCATACTTTTACACAATTTGCGTACAAAGTACAAAGAGCAACCATTTTGTCGGGCAGTTTCATTTCGATTTTCCCGAAATTTGAATTCAACCTTCAATATGGTGGAATGGTAAAATATTTAAACGGTTTTTAAAATCGGAAAAAAAAGATTGTGACCTCTAGAGAATCTGCAAGCTAAAAATGCGATTTTTCGAACAATCAGGAACCATAATCCAGGAAGTTACGTTCGGATACGCAATTATTAATAGGAACTAAGATCTTAGTGTGTAATGGTGATAGATTCACATGTTTTTTTTAAATCGGATAAAAATTGTGACCTCTACATGGAGAGAGAGAGAGAAATGGGGTTTAACGTCCACTCGACACAAACTGGGTCATTTCGGGACTAACATATGGTTTAATTTTATTTAAATAATTCGCTTGCGCATAGGGGTCTTTAGCAGTGGGAGGAAACCGGAGGACCCGGAGAAAACCCATGAGGTTGGACAGGCGACCCTACTCCTTGTCACGTACAACCGGGGATTCGAAACCACGCCAGTTGACTCAATGACAGGCTTTATGATACAGCACGCACGTGCTAACCATTCGGCCACCCAACCCCCCACCTCTACATGGACCGCAAGCTAAAAACGTGATTTTTTGTACATTCCAGGGCCATAATTCAGTAAGTTACGATCCAATACATGCGAATATCGAAAGGAACCAAGATCTTTGGGTTATAAACATGTATTTCAATTCTCATCAAAATCGGATAAAAATTGTGACCTCTAGACGGTCCACAAGCTTGATATACCAGATGCTTTTCACTATTTGCGTACGAGGGGCGGCCATTTTGTCCGGCAGTTTTTGCCCGATTTTCACAAAATTCGAACTCAACAAATATTACTTTGCATCAGAGATATATTTGATCGGTTTTTTTAATCGGATAATAATTGTGACATCTAGGGGGACCTCAAGCTAAGAATGCCATTTTTCGTACAATCAGAGGCCATAATTCAGGAAGTTACTATCCGATATGCGCGAATATCGAAAGGAACCAAGATCTTTGGGTTATAAACTTACATTTCAAGTTTCATCAAAATCAGAAGAAAATTGTGACCTTTAGAGAGTCCACAACCTTGATATATCATATTTTTTGTCCGTCAGTTTTAGTCCAATTTTCACGAAATTCGAACTCAACCGTCATTATGGTGTAGCGATGATACATTCAAATGTTTTTTTAAATCGGAATAAAATTGTGACCTAAATAGAGTCCACACTCCACAAGCTTAAAAATGTGATTTTTCGTACAATCAGGGGCCATAATTCAGGAAGTTATGGTCCGATTTGCACGAATATCGACAGAAACCAAGATCTTTGGGTTATAAACTTACATTTCAAATTTCCACAAAATCAGATCATAATTGTGACCTCTAGAGGGTCCACAAGCTAAAAACACGATTTTTCTTACAATCAGGGGCCATAATACATGAAGTTACAGTCTGATACATGCCAATATCGAAAGGAACCGAGATCTTAGGGAGATAAACCTATATTTCAAGTATCGTTGAAATCAGATAAAAATTGTGACCTGTAGAGTTTCCACAAACAATTGTGGACGGACGGACAGGGGCTACGACAATATGCATCCACATGAAAATGTGGGCGTATAAAAAGGTTGATAATGGTAAATAGAAATAATTGAAACTTACTTGGGATGGGCAGTTAATTTATTTGGAGTTAAATCTTTAGAAAATACCGCTTGTAATGTTTCACATTCAATGAAGGCCAAGTTGTGAGTCTTGACAATACCTAATATAAAACAAACCACAGTACAAACATACTATGGACCAGGAACTGAGAATGACATCATTGTGACATATCTAAAATCGAAGTCCATCAATCGATGTGTAATTGTCCAAGGAACAAGCCTAACAAGTTCCATGTCGATCATATGCTTTTTTTTAAGTGTGTCTGTCGCCCCTGGTTCAAAAATATTATATGTGGAAATGTTATGAAATGAAATTGAGTTTTATGGTGGTCAGCTTCAACTGGGCTATATTGTGTCAAACATATTATGATAAAATATGAGATGAGTTTGATGTGTAAACGATAATGGTTGATCAAAGAATTATGAACACAATATATAACTACAGTGGACTCTGTTACTTCCAACATCTGAATACAACGGCATTCTGTGAAATCCTTCATTATTTTCATGTCCCGATTTATTTCCTTATTACTTCAACCAAATTAGTTTTGAGTAATCCCGATTTTGAATATTCCGAATTACGAAATCAATCAGCGATCCCGTCACACGATTTGCATTGAATTAACAGTGTATAATCCGGCCTTTAATCAGTGGGTGTTAACCAACAAGCATTCACTAATCAATTATCTGTCAGCATAAACCATGTGTCAGTCTTTGTTGATTACCTTGATATTTTATCTCTTGGTATTTAATTTGAACAGTGACATTATACATGTATAAATTGCCGAGATGACATTATAATATTGTGTTCATAATGTGCGATTGTCCTGCAAAGCGTGCCCGTATGGATTTGACATTGGATGTCAAGCAGCATTGAGAAAGTTCCACGACCTACATAGAAGGAATTAGCCGTTAAGTATTAAATTGGCCATACTACAGTATCCAACATTTTAAGGGGAAAAGATGAATTCAAACAGAAGGGTTTAAGGGCGTGGACAAACACAACCTGCCAGTCAATTTGTCGGCCAATACTAAGGCTTGGATGACAAGCATTATCTATTTGGGTTGGTGTATCTCCTGATGACGAAGATGATGATATACCGCTTGCAAAACTAATCGAATCCTTGGTACTTCTTCAAACACAACAAAAGGAAATTTTTACAAATTTAAACAATGGGTATTCAAGGGTGCATTATAATAAAATTTTCGTTATTCGAAGGTGCAATAATACTTCCGGTATAATTGAGGCAATTGTGTATTCCGACATGCTGTCTAATCCAGCATATTGTATCGTTCCCGTACGATGTCGGAATTGACAGAGTCCACTGTAGAAGCAAAATAATATTAGGCTACATATAGTATAGAAACTTATACTGTACTTTCTGTTTATCTATTAATTCCAAATAGATATTGAAAATATTTGAAGACGAATACATTACATACACTACATATAGGACTAATTTTGTTTTTTGATTTAGTTTATTTTAAAGATGGCTTTTGTTTTCTGTTATTTAGTACATCAATATTTTATTTTATGAGGACAGTATCAGTTCCTCTTAAGGTTTAAAATGAAGGCCATTTACCGTGTCTACAATATAACTGGAAGACTAATCTAGCTTCTGGTGTATTGAGAGTTATCTTACATCTTTCTACACTTCTCTCTATGGAGGATAGTGATTTAAATACTGTCAACATGGACTGTAATTAAAAGAAAAACACCATTTAAATACTCTAAATATATAAACTTACGGTAATAATTGTTTTATTTTCAAATATAGTTCAATTCTGTTTCTACAAAGATATGATGTTCACTTAAATTTGTTAGTATTCGGCATCCACTAAAGACAAGGATCTGGTCAGCACAACCCAGCGCTGTCTATGCAATGAAATGAATGAATGAAACATTTGGGATTTACGTACTACTTTTCTGCTCTAACCTGGCTAATGAGGGCAAGCATACTATGACGGAAATTTTGCCGGAACAGCAATTAAATTCCAACTGTCAAGGGTTCTTTTAAGTGCACATGAGAACTCATTTTTTATGTTCCATCCGATTGACTAGCCGCTGTTCCTTGCCAGGTTCTTCATCCTGTACCCAGGAGAAACCATGTTGGAAAATCTCAGCCAACATCAGGATAAAACCCAGAATCTCCAGAATAATGAGGCAGCATTTTACTCACTAAGACACCAAGGCTTCCCTCCCGCAAATAATGCACAGAGACTTTCATAAGCACGTTCAAATGAAATGAAATGAAATGGGGTTTAACATTCAGAAGCGTACAATGTAACACTTAACTCGTAACTGTACTGTAATACAACACATTGTCACTATATTTAGATTTACTAGGATGTAATTGATGATATTACTTTTATACATCATGTGTAAGCCCAGCCTCTTAGAGGTTTGTTGTGCAAGTGCTTACCTTCATATTAACTTTACATCGTAGCCCTTCATCTTCACTATCATTTGACTTTAGCAATGCAGAGCCATCATCATAGTGTGTAAAAAATGAGGGTGAAAACAACATGTAGGCATAGGCAGATCGGGTGGAATTAACGGTTCGTAGCGCAAACTGAAACAAAACATATAAGTACATACATTACATATACAAATTCTGATATTGTTTAGCTTTAATTTCCTAGGTGAAATCAATGCAGTAGTCAAATAAACTTTAAAAACAATGCAAACAGGGAATTGTTTAGACTATGTACATGTTAGATAACAAACCTCCTCTCTCAACCCTCTGTGTTTCGAGATAAGAGATGGTGCTATATAGTTCCACGTAGCAAAATCCAACGCAAATAACATCAGACTTCAATTTGCAAAATTGACAATATTTTTCATCAAAACAACGATTGATTATTGTAATTTATAATATTTCTGCCACATTCAACTACAATTAAGCACATAATCCAACAAGAAACGGGTATAAATCATCACATTTAAATTTGAGGCGTTAAGCCGTTACTAGGAACGCCATTTTTAAATGGGAGATGTATGCCAGATAAAAACAATGCTTCATTAATTTAAACATGAATATTTGGAGTTAGGCAATAGTTGTGCCACTACATTGTCCTCTGTAGGTTTAATTAGTCATAATAGTATAAAATTTAATAGTATAAAATTATCTTATTTTTAAGATGTTACATGCATTAATAAAGTAATTGAGTTTCCCACAAGCACATCAGTATATCTCAACGTTTTTAGCTAGTTCTTGTTGCTATGTACATGTACACATGTAGTCACAAATCTACAAAATGAGTACTTCATGTCCATTTTTTTAAATAAAAAAATTCCATTAACTTACACCTTGCTCCATAGGCTCCACATATAATTCATCTCCAATTTTAGACAGTGAATGAACTGCCCTTCCAAAGACTATAAAGAAGAAAAATTGCACATTCATGTGTTATGAATTGTTTCAATTTCATTTAGTAATTTAACTGGAAATACACAGGACAATATTCTATGAAATACAAATACTTTTAATTACAGAGTGGTGTAAATGAAGTGGAGAGAGAGATAGAGAAAAGGGGTTTAATGTCCACTCGACACAAACTAGGTCATTTCGGGACTAACATATGGTTTTTAATTTTATTTCAATAATTCGCTTGCACGTACGGGTCTTTAGCGGTGGGAGGAAACCGGAGGACCCGGAGAAAACCCACGAGGTTGAACAGGCGACCCTACTCCTTGTCACGTACAACCGGGAATTGTGATAAAGCTCGCGCGTGCTAACCATTCGGCCATCCAACCCCCATAATTGAAGTGGAAGCCCTGGTTTCGACTTTCGACTATCACTCTGATCTCTAGTCTTTATCAAAATATGTACATGTATAATGTCCCAAGTAGGTACTATGAAGCTGATTCATTCTCAAAGAAGCATATGTAAGATTTAGATTAGGAGGTGGCCATTCTTGCTATAATACTTCAAAAATAGATAATGCAAAATGAATATATTGAAAATTTCATTCAAATTACTTTATTCTGAGCGAAGTTAACAATGTTTGTAGTTTTGACAAGATGTGTGCATTGATTGCTTATTATCATAACCACTGTACTGGTTGTTCGAGACTTAGCCTCGCCTTTTCATTTTTACATTAAATCATTAAATGGCCAAATCTATATGGAAGGATAACATTGCCAATATATTTTCAAGGCCAAAGTCAGTAGAAGGAGCTGGCATACAATAAGTCACCATACAATACGTTGGCTTACCATTCAATATAAGGGTGAATCAAGCTAGCATGCAACAAGAAATTCGCTGGTTAACCATGATTTCTGTGAAATAATGAGCTCAGTATGGCTAATCCGGGCCTTCAATAAACCCCATATTTTTACTTCATACCCCGACACCCCCCCCCCCCCCCCAAAAAAAGAACACACACACCCTTCACTTTAACTTGAATCTTTTTTTTCAAAGTAGGCTAGCTGGGTAAGACACTGGCTCGCTAGCCTGGAGGTCGCATGTTCGATCCCTGCATTGGTTGGGAAATTTAATGGAATTTTCCAACATGGTTTTACCTTGTCAGTGGTGCAGGAAGGAGGGCCTGGCAAGGACAGCGGTCTAGTCCTTCGGATGGTATGAATAAACGGAGGTCTCGTGTACACATTGGTAAAAGATCCCCTGCCAGTTGGAATTCGACATAAGAGTAGGTCATAGTGCCGCTGCCCGGGCAAAATTTCCCTCAAAGCACACTGTATAGCGCGTGCCCTTCTCCATAAGCCCAATAGGAAAAGAACAGTAGGACGTTAAACCCCATTTCATCTCATTTTTTCAAAGTATGTACTAGAAATTTATTTAAATATTTGAAAATAGAAATGAACGTGCAATTTAGTGATATGTAAAAGATATCTGGAATTCGTATTACGACAGGTACATGTATGTTTACTTTAAATACCCCCATCCCCGTCATTTAATAGAGTTTCGTACCACCAGACTTAGATATTTTTTCTTTCCCCTTGTCAATGATGCAGGATGGAGGGCCTGATAAGGACAACTATCTAATCGTTCGGATGGTACAAAAAAAATGGGTCCCGTGTACACATTAGGCGATTAGCGTGCATGTAAAAAATCCCTTGCCAGTTGGAATTCGATACAAGAGTAGGCTATATATAGTGCCGCTGTCCAGGCAAATTTTCCCTCATAGAACACTGCATGGCGTATGCCCTTTTCATTAGCCCAGTCGGAGCAGAACAGTAGGACGTTAAACCTCATTTTATTTCATTTCATTGATGGTTTTCCAAGGCCTGTAAATATGAGTACTGGTCCCCTTCTACTGACCTTGATCTAGTACACGGATTGCGAAAATTATTAATTTCCATCCTAGTCCGGACTTTTTTCTGTATGTACATGAGCTTTGTTCTATTATGCATTTGTCTATAATGCAAAATGCAGAAGTGTGATGTGCAAAATAAATATTATACTGTATTTTAACACTGTGATATTAGTATTGTGGAGCAATTGCAAATTGTACAACTGACATACAGTTTGCACCGTGAACATTGAAATAATTTGGTAACATTATCCTTCCATACTAATCTACAAGATACAACCGCATTTTGCAAGAGATGGATAGAGAACAAACTAAAAATAAAGTTTCATCAAAATCAGATAAAAATTGTAACTTCTAAAGCATCCACAACCTTGGTATTGCATACTTTTACACTATTTGCGTAGAAGGAGTAGCCATTTTGTAAGGCAGTTTCGGCCCGAGTCCAATAATATGCGCAAATATAAAAAAAAAAAAAATCTTTGGTATTAGATACTTTTACTCTATTTGCGTACAAGGAGCGGCCATTCTGTCCAGCAGTTTGGGTCAGATTTTTACGGAATTCAAACTCAACCTTCATTGATATATTTAAATATACACAATTTGACTTCTAGCGGGTCCACAAGCTAAAAATGCATTTTTCGTATAATCAGGGGCCATAATCCAGGAAGTTGTGTTCTGATATGCACGATTATCAAAAGGAACTAAGATCTTTAATATATAACATACATAAATTTAAAGTTTCATCAAAATTCGGATCAAAGTTGTGGCCTCTAGAGGGCCCACAACCTTGATATACCATATATTTACACTACATGTATTTGCGTATGAGGGGCGGCCTTTTTGTCCAACAGATTTCCATGAAATTCGAACTCAACCACCTTTACTTAGTATGTAACCATGATATATTTAAACATTTTTTTTTTAAATTGGATAAAAATTGTGACCTCCAGAGGGACCACAATCAGGGGCCATAATTCAGGAAGTTATGATCCGATATGCGGGAATATCGAAAGGAATTAAGATCTTTGGGTTATAAACTTACATTTCAAGTTTCAACAAAATCAGATGAAAATTGTGACCTCTAGAGTGTACACAAGCTAAAAACGTGATTTTACGTACAATCGTGGGCCACAATCCATGAAGTTACAATCCGATACATGCCAATAATGAAAGGAACCTATAGAGTGTCCACAAACAAATTGTGGACAGACAGGGGCGATGGCATAATACATCCATATGAAAATGTTGGTGTATAAAAATATATGTTATCATACATACATATGTAAAAACAAGAAACTGTGCTTGTAGCTTTGTGATCTGTAGCTTGAAAATTGACTGAGATACAGGCATATGAATTTTATGAGTTACCGAGGTTTTGAAAACAAATGTGTATCAATAATTTACTCAGATATCTTGTTTTTACCTTTCTAGTGAAGATTTATAGGGCTCAAATTTGGTAGTCTTCGATAAACTTTTTGTGTAGATTACGAATGTGTAATCAGACTACAGCTGAGTGGTAGGGTTTACATGCTATTTGGCAATGATAACCGAAAAAAATTTGGTGTAATTGTATATTTTCTGGATTTCTGGATCTTGATATTTTTTCCATTTGATCAAAATCTGTGTTTTGGGTCATTCCATGTCAATTATCGTATTTTCGAGCCAACTGAACCTGGTAGATGAGCACCTTAACCCATGTGCAGATACAAGGGGTATTTCGGGACCCCACGACCATATCCTTAACAACCATATGTATAACATTTATATATTGTCAGCTTAACGTTGTGTATAATGCATGCTAATAATCCGAAAATAAATAAATGACACATATTAATTAATACCACATTTATTTTTTTCAAAAGTATCAAGCAATCAAACTGATTATCAACCATACACTAAGTTTCATCACTCTCTATCAGATAGAATCAAATTGCTTATTGCTCTGCCTACCCTGAGCAGAAAATACCCATTATGGAACTTAGTCATGGTATTGATGTAATAAAACTATAAACCAAATTTCATCACTCTCACTTAATTAGAACTAAAGTTATGGTGTCCCAAAGAATCAACCAATCAAATTGCTTATCTCTGCTTCCCCTTAGCAGAAAATGCTCATCTTGGAACTCCATCAAGGAATTGACCTAATAAACACCTACACCAAGTTTGAGTGTTCTAGCTTAATTAGAAGGAGAGTTATTGTGTTACAAAGTCTCGGCCAATCAAATTGCTTATCGTTCTGCTTACCCTGAGCAGAAAATGCTCATTATCAAACTTAGTCAAGGTATTGATGTAATGAAACTATTCATCATTCTTCGAAAGGCAAGGGACAATTAAAAGTATTACATTTTACATTATCGGAAGCAAGCAGTCTTGTGGAACCCCCTACAAATTTGAGCCCTATATATCTTCACTAGAAGAAAGGTAAAAACTGGAGTAAATAACTGATACATATTTTGTTTTGAAAACTTATCGGTAACTCATAAAATTCAAGGGCCCACAACCTTGATATACCAGATGTTTACACTATTTGCGTAGAGGGGCGGCCATTTTGTCTGGCAGTTTTGTCCGATTTTCACGAAATTCGATCTCAACTAAGATTACGGTGTAACGGTGATATATTCGAACATTTTTGGAAATCAGATAATAATTGTGACCTCTAGAGGGGTCATAATACGGGAAGTTACGATCCGATATGCGCAAATTTGACAGCAGCCAAGATCTTTGTGTTATAAACGTCGTTTCAAGTTTCATGAAAATCGGATCAAAACTGTGACCTCTACAGGGTCCACAACCTTGATATACTAGATTTTCACACTATTTGCGTAGAGGGGCAGCCATTTTGTCTGGCAGTTTTTGTCCGATTTTCAAAAAATTTGAATTCATCCAACAATACGGTGTAAAGGTGACATATTCGAACGTTTTTCAAATCAGTTAATAATTGTGATCTCTTGAGGGACCACAAGCTAAAAACACGATTTTTTGTACAATCAAGGGACATAATTCAGGAAGTTACGATCTGATATGCGCGAATATCGAAAGCAACCACGATCTTTGGGTTATAAACATGCATTTCAAGTTTCATAGAGGGTCCACAACCTTGAT